ATTTATTAAATAATAAATATCCCTACCTCATTTATTCCTATTCTTGTTTATTACGTGATTTTTTTAGAAGTAAGGCATGCAAATAAATATTCGCACTTACCTTTATTTCCTTTAGTAATTGACTGAGTTGGTTTTATGGTGATTTCTTCCTTCAGTGTCAACAGTCGTTTATACTGTCTTGCGTCTATTTCGATTAATTAGTCTCTCTGTGTATATTAGAAAAAGGGGTTCTCTATAATGGGACCTGCGTCTATTATAATTTGTCACCCTTTTTTTTTATTTTCTTTAAATTCCTTTTATATTATACTATGTTTTTCTAATAATATTTTCGACGAATTCCCTACAGTTGATATCGATATTCTTAAAATTTACTCTGAACTAGTCAAAATATAATTATAAGAATATGTCTATCTATATTCAAAATATAATTAACAACACTGTGGTGGCCCAGCGTTTCTCAGCGTAAAGCCTTGGCTGGCGCGGACACAGTTACCTCGCTAATATATTTTAAATATTATTTCAATACACCTTTTACTATCCTTTACGTCAACTGCCTACACGTTACTGAAAGGTAATTGGTATAGTCCTTTATGGCTGGCGGGTACACACGCAGAGAATATTTCCAAGATGTAGTTTCCTATCTTACGGACTATATATTTTATGATGAACTCTACCCGGACTACTAGCTCTAGAACTGGCTTGTCGACGGATATAGCGCACTTCAAAAATACTCTTTTTATANAACGCACTTCAAAAATACCCTTTTTATAAGTTTAGTACCACTCTGTACCTCAACTGCCTACACGTTACCGAAAGGTAATTGGCATAGTCCCTTAGGGCTGGCGGGTACACAGGCATAAAGTACTACTACTAAAACTAATTAATTCTAATCACAAATTATGCTTCTTCATTTAGTTCGGCACATTTAAGGCTGTTCATAAATGTAGGGCACAATAAGCTTTATTATGAATATACGATAATGTATAAGGCTATTATGCCTGTATAAATAAAATTACGCTTCTTCACTCTTTTCGGCACATTTGAGGCTGTCCAGAAATGAAGGGCATAATAATATTTAAAACCTTTATATAAAAATAGAGATAATGTCTATTTGTCGTGAGAACATTAGGTGATAATAAAAATAAATAAAAACTTGTTCCTGTATAAAATATTAATAAATTATCTAAGACAATGTTCACCACTTAGGATGATACATATAAAAAAAAACTAAGTCACAGGGACAAAATATTTACTTATACTGACGCAGATTCCGTGTAAGAGAATATTTAGAGGGTAGTCGTCGTAGTTGCAGCCGCAGAAAATCGTCAAAAGAAATCCCTGTTTACGAGAAAAAATGGCTTTTTATACGCCGGATGAAGTAAGCCAGCGATCTCTGTTGAAATTCCTAAGATGTTGGATAATTATTTGTGATTGGTTAATTGTGATAGAAACCCTGCCGTGGGCGTAGTTAATGAATTGTAGGGGACTGGTTTCAAACATGTGTTGATAAATAGTTATTTTTATTACCCTAAAAGGGAAACATTCCTTAGATATATATGTGATATTTAGTACATGTGTTAATAATTATACTACAACTTGTTCCAAATATACCACGTCCACACTGTGCTACCATTTTTTAATATTTTTTTATGCATTGTGGCTATTAAAAATGTTTCCTTTGTTTCCTGTAAATGAAGGAAATCCCCCCAAAAATTTCAATTTTTAAAATTGGTAAATTTTGAACATTTTTTTAACTTTTTTAGCTTCGATGCGAAGCGGAGAAGGTATTAATTTTACTATGATGTGTTTTTTTTTTTTTTTTTTTTTTTTTTTTTTTTTTTTTTACC